ATAGAGAGAGAGAGAGGAAAACAAGGTACAAAGCAGTCATACTCATTACAATGGGAAGAATCTGCTCTGGGATGATGATTTCCACTCCTGTGACGATCTCCAAGCTCGATTTGATGAAACCCAGCTCCAAGATAGCTTCTAGGATGTGTTCTTCGTCCTTTCTCTCTCTAGGGCTCTGTTTTTGCTCAAAAAGTCCGATCTTCTCACTTGTGGCTCGAAATTGGCTGAAAAACCAAGATTTCCCGACTCACACGGGCAGGCCACACGGTCGTGTGGCTCACCCAGTTGCCCGTGTGAGTCAAAACGCGGCGTATCATTAAGTCGAAATTCAGGCTTCCCACACGGCCAGGGTCGCACGGCCGTGTGGGATTTCCATCCTACCCGTGTTTGCTCTCGGCGAAAATCACACGGCCACAAATGTGAGTTGCACGGCCGTGTGATGTCCAGGAATAACCGTGCGGCTTCCTTAGCACCTCGCCACGCGTCCGATCTTCGTCCAATCGACCCCAAATTCGCTCCCAAGCCTCCATTCACGTACTAGGACCTGAAATATCACAACCAAGCACAGCCTAGCGTGAAATCGGCCTAAAACACGAGAATCAACACCTCAAACGGTGTAAGAACAGGGGTAAAAACATGTGTAATTAACGGTCTATCAAACTCCCCCACACTTAACCGTTTGCTTGTCCCCAAGCAAACCAAGTTAGATACAAGGTAAACTCACATATTTCAATCAACAAACATTGGGGACAAGTCATAAAGGCACAGAACACATGAATCGTACTGGTTTTCAAACATCAATACATGAACAACCTCAATAGCAACCTGGACAACCACCACAAAGGACATTCGAGTGCAGCAAAATCGAGTAAAGGAAGAGTCTCCCTTCTGTTCACCAACCAACCTAGACTTGACTCAACCACTTACTCAAAACAGTCAACTCATACATCCAACTCAAGACATCAGAATAGAGACCGAGCAATCTAGGTCCTCACCGGGGTACAAGAGTATACAGAAAATGAAAATGAATCACTCACTCTCGACCAGTGGGGTCGGGACAATTTGATGCGAAAAATGTGCATGCTATTTCTCTCAATCCCTAACATCTCTTCACCATGATGGCAGCCTCTAAATGCTAGAGTTCATATATATGGTTGTCATCACTAACTAATCAGGAGGTCTTAGACACAGGTTCACATGACTGGCTAGGGTCTTGGACATGGGGAAAAGGCCTTTTAGGTGGTGGAAGTATTCAAAGCACAAGGTTCCACATTTCCAAACCCACACAATCACAGTCAAACAAACCAGTACTTTCTTTCTGCTATTCTGCATTACTCAAATTAAGAGCACAAGAGCGAAGGAGGTCACATAAATACTAGTGTTTCTAAGTCAGACTGCTAAGAAACACTACTTAATGGGCACTATTCAGATTTTTGGTAGTGGCTCTCTTTTGCTTCCAATTTTTCTTTGTTTTCTTTCATTTTCTTTTCATTTCTTAAGAGAGCCACCAATTCTGCACATATTTCAAACACCTGCCCAACTTTTAAGCACTACCTCCAACACTCACATCAAATTTAGCAGAAACAACAGAGAATATGTAAAAACCACTCTGTGGAACCTTCTAAAAGATGCAAAAAGGGTGATTTTTCATTATAGACCAAAAGAAAGGATAACACACGGCTCAAAGGGGCTGACTAGGGGATATGACACATCAGGACAGTCAAATTTGGTTGTGGGCTAATCCTATGCCCCCATCATCTTAGCTAGTGATAACGTGAATGCTACACATCATGGAAGAGGGAACTATCGCACAAGAAAGAAACGAGAAGGCTCAAATCTCACATGGCTACCTATATCTCTATCTCACATTCTGATACCCTGAACTAGATGCATAAACGACTGTCAAGAACAAGTGATTAAATCAAGTCACAGTTGGTAAGCAAACAGTTGAAAGAACTGAACCCCTACACAATTCTACTGCACGTCTCAGTCCTCATCATAGGTTGTCCTAGTCACGATCAAGCTGTCATGCATCAATCCAAAAACCATTCAATTCATCAATCAAAACACAGTGCCAATATGATCAAACAGCAGCACTTGGAGCCCTCAAATCGTAAGATTCGGACAGCGGACTAGGCTCCAAGCACATAAATATATATTCCAACCGATACAAAGCACCCCCCACACTTAAGCACAACATTGCCCTCAATGGAGTAGAGGGAGAGATAAGGGGAACGATGTTACCGGATTGAAATACTGCTGGGGGACTGGAAGTGGACCAGTCAGCGAGAAACAAACGGGAAGATGGACAGTTCTGCACGAATCGAACACCAAGAACACACTAGCACACTGTGCGTTAGGGATAAGTGTTAGCCCAGAAGGCTACAAAATAAACAATCCACAAAAGAAAAAAAAACAAAAACAAACGACACTAAGTTCAAGCTCCTCACACATGGAGCAAACACACACAAGTCTAAAACGAAAAACAAAACACACTGAGATGGGCAACGAGTACAGCCTACTCGTCGCCAAGATCATCCAGGTCGATGTCGTCCATGAAGGCGTCATCACCATCAGCACCATCATCACCATCCGCTGGGGGAGGTGGAAGTGGAGAGTCCTCCCAGGGAGTCCTCCAGACTGGCTGCTCGCCCGGTAGCAGCTGGAGTAAATGTTGCTGGACCTCCTGCATGCGCCATGAACGGCGCTTCTCCCGCTCGATGTTTGCGAGAGTCACTCCCTGCTGGGTCTGGATCTGGTCCAATCTCTCATCGTAAACAACCATCCTCTGGTGGTACTCGGCTTGGTGAGCCGCGTACTACTGCTGGAACTGCATCTGATGGTCGAGGATCTGCTGGTTCTGGAGACGCAGCTGCTCGAACTGGTAGGTGAAGTAATTCTGCCCCGGGAAAGCGGAACTGCCACTCCCATAACGGAAGTTAGTCTGTGATGGATCAGCAGCAGCGTCCACATCATCTGGGTGGACATGATCAGCAGCCTCCTCCTCCTGGCCCTCTGGCTGGTCCTCCGCGGGGATCTGAGGTTCCGGAAACCCCTCGATCCATAGAATGCCGCGATTCTCTCGCAGCAGGTGCATGTGACTGATCGTCTTCCTGCCAAAGACGCTGGTGTCCCCCTGCTGTGTGCACCCCTGCAGTGAAAGGCCGAAGTAGGTGGCCAGGCGGGTGATGAGGGGGGCTAGTGGAGGCTCTTCAGTTCTGAAGCAGTCTTCTCGAAGGTCCTGGCCACCACCGAACCCAAGTGGAGGGGATGGTCGTGCTGGCGGATCGACTGGATGACGTACATGGCCCTCTTGGTGATGGCGCTGGCACTGTCTGAAGCTGGAGTATAAGACTTCGCCAGCAGGTGGTGGAGAAGGCGGTTGTCGAGCTGCAGGGTAGTGGCCTTCGTCCTCCCGGCCGAGAAGGGACGTGTCTGGCCTGGCCGAGCCAGGCGGGTGTACAGCGTCCTGAAGTCCACCTCCGGCGGGTCGTTGACCTCGGTGACGTAGTCCTCACCGTCGTCTAGGCCGAGGTCGAGAGCCTCGGCCAGCTCGTGGTAGCTCATGGACCGGGGGCCACTGCCTAGCCTGAAGTTGACGGCTGCACCGTCTCTCCAATCGTCCGTGGGTGTGTGCTTGAAGGTCGTGTAGAACTCAAGCACGGGCTCGTAGTAAACCTTCTCGCAGATGGAGAGCAGACGGCGCCATGGGCGGTTGGTGACGGCGGCGGAGAGTTGCTCGTAGCAGTTCAATTTCCGAAACTCCCGTTTGGACCAGCAATGGTGCTGCCCAAACGAGCATGCCAGGACCTGCTTGAAGCGATTCTCGTCGGGGCCCCTCTTCAGATCCCGGATGAACGGGTGCTTGAGGTCAGGTTTCAACATTGTCCTGCAAAAGAACAACCCAAAGTGGAACCAAAAGAGCCAAAGAAAATGTCAATCACACCCCCACACTGAAGAACAGAAAACAGCCTAACCATGGTTTCATCCATAGTTCGGGGGTCAAAAACTCGATAAATCAAACATAATCTGAGTGGGGGTTCACATTCACGATAAAGTAGGAAACTTAAGGTTCACATCCATAGCAAATAAATGAACCCCATAACTAAATCAAATTGAAAGATTGACTGATTGCTATAAAAAGAATCGAAAATCACCTTGTGCAGAACTGGTTATATGAGACCTTGTGATCCTTCTCACAAAAATAGTGAATCTGCAACACAACAGACGCTTTATAACATGATTAAATAGTGTAAAAGTGGATAATAGAAAAAGCAGAGTACGCTGAATGGAAAAACAACCTAGGGTTTATGAGATTACCTTTAGAGAGTCTTGGACTAGCTTCTCCTTCTCATCCAGTATTGATTTTATAATAACCCAGGATCTTAATCGTCTCTTTGGGAGAAATAATTCAATCGCCCGCCAATTTGCTGATTCCATTGGATTTATCCCGCCAAATCTCCCCAAATTCTAGCGACAACCACGTTTAAAGTACTTCCCCCAAAAACCTCCGACTCGGGCGTGATATGAGAATGAAAGAAGAGAGGAATGGATAGAGAAGGGAAGTAGTTTTAGGTTTCTTCCACTGCTACGCGAGATATGTGGTTGGGATGACTAATGAGGAGATAATTATTTTATTTGATATCTTCTATTAATGATTCAATTTATGTTTTCTATTAATGTCGTAGTTACCGTAAAATGTAACTCCGACGGAATGTCTATGTTATGTACGCCAGTTGGATGGTGTAATTCATGTATACATCTCGGAATTCACTTTCTATACATGTATATGTTAAGGTTTACTTCTATATACAAGTCAGTTTGAGATCGCCTCTAGCACAAATGTCGTAATTACCATGATATGTAACTCCGACGGAGTCGTCTAGGTTATGTACTCCAGTTGGATGGTGTAATTCATGTATACATCACGGAATTCTTTTCTATACATATATATGTTAAGATTTACTCCTATATACAAGTCAGTTTGAGATCGCCTCTAGCACAAATGTCGTAATTACCGTGAAATGTACAAAGTCGTCTAGGTTATGTACGCCAGTTGGATGGTGTAATTCATGTGTATACATCTCGGAATTCACTTCTATACATATATATGTTAAGATTTACTCCTATATACAAGTCAGTTTGAGATCGCCTCTAGCACAAATGTCGTAATTACCGTGAAATGTAACTCCGACAGAGTCATCTAGGGGCGGAACGCCAGTTGGATGGTGTAATTCATGTATACATCTCGGAATTCACTTCTATACATATATATGTTAAGATTTACTCCTATATACAAGTCTGTTTGAGATCGCCTCTAGCACAAATGTCGTAATTACCGTGAAATGTAAATCCGACGGAGTCGTGTAGGGGCGGACCCAAAGGTAAGGTAAGGGTGTCTCGGGACACCCCAAAATTTCGAGGAAAAAAATATCGAACCCCCGGTAGTAGTAGGAGTTCCAAAAAAAAAGTGCATAGTGTTCACTAAGATTTGAACCCAGGACACCGCTGTTACAAACAAACTTGCTAACCATTCGGCTAGCACAGAATCCTTGCAATAATTGGAACATAAATATATTTATACCGTCTACAGATTCAGTTATATTAAAAATCCCCAATTTTCTCTTGATCCCTAAAATCAATTGATTTGTTTATTTCTGCTGTACGAAAGGGACACCCCCTCTGCCGAGACGAGGATTGCCCCCCGCCGTCTTCTCTTCCCACCAACTCCCAATCCCGCCGTCTTCCCTCATCTCCAACTCCTAGTCCCACTGTCCCGCCGTCCTTCGACGATTGAATAACAAGATGTCCGCCGCCTGCCGCTTGCCTTGCTGATGTTCTTCACGACTGCACCTGCTCAATCGTGCGGTAAAGAGGTAAGTAAGCCCCTTCCCGGATTCCCCTGTTCAAGGCTCAAGTCTTTTCATAATTTCATTGTTCAATTGTCGACTAAACTTGTTGTCCATTGAACTTGTTGTAAATGCAGAAAACTACCAAAGAACAAATCCTCAAAGCTTGAACTTGCTCACTGTCGCTGGAGAGAACTAAAACAAAGAATCAAAGGAGACGGTAAGCACTAAGCAGTTAGCCCTTAAAGACTCGTAAGAGAGAAATTCCTAGTTGAATAATCTAAGCTACTGAAAGTCTGAAACTCCCAATTGTTGTTGTTTTCTTGTTGTTTATTGATGATGAAATGACTTATGAATGAGGGAATATCATTCACACAGTGGGTTGTTTTCTTGCTGTCCTTTTGTTGTTCTTTCAAAACTATTTTTGCATTATGTTTGCCAATGTTTAGACCAGTTTGCTTGAATTTGCGGTATCAGGAGTCGATTCAACTTGTCAATGGAATTTTGTTTTCATTGTATGCTTCAGTTGATAAACATTGGATTTTAGGCTGCTAGTTTGATCGCCGGTTTTCTAAAATTTGCAGCATCAGGGGTCGATTGAATGTTGAGGTCGATTCAACTTGTCAATTGATTATTTTACCTTGTTAACTGTTGTCCTTGCTGCCCATTTGCTTGATTCAATTTAACTTGTTAACTGTTGTCCTTGCTGCCCATTTTCTTGATTCAATTTAACTTGTTAACTGTTGTATTAACTAATGTGGTCGTTGCTGCCAATTTGCTGGAGTCAATTTAACTTGTTAACTGTTTTATATGCAGTCATGGCTTCAATTGATAAATCGTGGATGCAAGTCTGAAACAGATCATGCTTAGAATATTTTAATGGAGTCGAAAGCTTTCTTGACTATGCATTTGCTAATGTGGTCGAGGAAGACATGAAGATTAAGTGCCCTTGTGTAGATTGTGACAATTTGTACAGGAGGGAAAGGACTCAAGTGCAATCACACCTTTTATACAGAGGAATCAAGCGATATTATACTAAGTGGGAGCATCATGGGGAGCGTGATGACCCCACTGATTCATCCTCTGATGAGTTTGAAGAAGAAGAAAATGAGATGCAGACAGATGATATACAAGGATTGCTAAATGATTTGAGACCACATTTCGGTTGGGACAACGATGGTGTAAATGAACCAGAAAAGCCTAACGTAGAAGCCAAAAAGTTCTTTAGACTTCTTAGCGAGGCAGAAAAGCCATTGTACGTTGGCAGTGAGAAGCATTCAAATTTGTCCTTTTTGATCAAGATGATGCATATCAAGTGCTTGAATGGTTGGAGTAACAGCTCATTCACTATGTTGTTGAAGACTGTCCGTGAGACATTACCAACGTCGGCTGATTTCTTGCCAAAAAATTATTACGGGGCTAAGAAGAATTTCAGAGATCTTGGACTACATTGTGAAGAAATACATGTTTGCAAAAATGACTGCATCATCTATTATGCAGAACATAAGAATGCTCTTAGATGTGAAATTTGTTCAGCTTCCAAGTACAAGTCAGTTTACAAGGATAGCAAAGGGAAGGTAAAAAAGATACCGTGGAAAATTTTAAGATACTTTCCCATTGGAAAGAGGTTGCAGAGGTTATTCATGTCCTCACAGACTGCTGAGTATATGGTATGGCATCATGAAGAACGCTCAAAGGATGAATTCTTAAGACATCCTGTAGACTCCGAGGCTTAGAGGGCCCTTGATGAAGCTAGTTTATCCTTTGCTAGTGATCCTCGAAATGTCAGATTGGGATTGGCTACCGATGGTTTCAATCCTTTCGGAAATATGAATAATAATTACAGCTTGTGGCATGTTCTTGTCTTTCCCTACAACCTCCCTCCTTAGATGTGCATGAAGAGTCCTTACATCTTCATGTCATTGCTCATTCCGGGCCCAAAAGGTCCAGGAAATGACATAGATGTTTTCCTGAGGCCTCTTATTGATGATTTGAAGATTTTATGGAATGACGGCATTGTCACTTATGATGCATTCAGGAAGGAAAATTTCAATATGAAAGCTGGTATTTTATGGACTATTAATGATTTCCCAGCATATGCTTGTCTTTCAGGCTGGAGTACAAAGGGAAAGCTAGCATGTCCATGTAGTGCAGCTCAAACTTCATATTTGAGATTGGAGAATGGGAGTAAAGAATGTTATATGGATCATCGTCGTTATTTGCCTGCAAATCATAAATGGCGGAAGCAAAAGAGAGATTTTAATGGCAAAGTGGAAAAAAGGGTTGCACCAAAGCGCCCATCTGGTCAAGAAGTGGCTAACGAGATCTTGTCTCTGGAAACAGTTCCCTTTGGTAAGAAAGGAAAGAAGCGAAAAATTGATGGGTTTAGCAAAACTAATAATTGGAGAAAACAGTCTGTGTTCTTCGAATTTCCATACTGGGAAAAGCTCTTGGTACGTCACAATTTGGATGTCATGCACATCGAAAAGAATATTTGTGATAGTATTCTGGGCACGATAATGAATCTACCAGGGAAAACAAAGTATGGTTTGAATGCTCGGCTTGATCTGCAGAATATGAATATAAGGCATGAACTCCATCCTATAGAAGAAAACGGCAAAATTAAGTTGCCACGGGCTGTCTACAGTATGATAAGCGAGGAGAAAAAGGCTCTTTATCAATGGCTTTCAAGTTTAAAAGTTCCTGATGGTTACTCTGCAAATATATCTAGATGTGTTAATCTTGAGGAAAGCAAAGTTTCAGGGATGAAGACTCATGATTGTCATATCTTCTTAGAAAGATTGCTACCACTTGCAGTTCGTGAGCTATTACCGAAAGATGTATTTGATGCACTGATTGAGTTCAATAATTTTTTTAGGGAAATATGCTCAAAAGAGTTGAAGGTTGAGGATCTAGATAATCTAGAGAATCAAATAGCTTTGACACTTTGTAAGTTGGAAAGAATTTTCCCACCGGCATTCTTTGATGTTATGATTCACTTGTCAATCCATCTCCCATGGGAAGCAAGAATTGCTGGTCCAGTGCAATACCGTTGGATGTATCCGATTGAAAGGTACGTACCTTCTCCAACAGGTTTCTTTAACATTTTTTATGTAACAGAGCTTGGTTTGAGTGATATGTTATGGACAAAAGTGTTGTGCTTTCCTTTTCAATAAAAGTTTAGTTGTGATGTTTTATTTGCTATTGCAATTGATTTCTTTTTCTATATTGTGTCAAAATTTGTTATCTTAAGTTGTTGTCATGTATTTGTTGCTGGGATATTGTACAGGTTTACTTGTCCTGTAGTTGTAATATATATGACCAGCAGTTTGATACCCTTAAAAGGAACGTTTGTACTGATGTTGCCATGTATTTCTCTGCCTTTTATTTCTAAAGGCTTGATGTTGTATGTATGCCTTTTCTTCTCTAGTCAATTAATACCTTCTATGGAGTGGAAAGGGACGATTATGCATACAATGAGTAATTAACCCTTATGTTTTGAATAAGGTTCATCAATTTGTTTGCTTCTGTATTTTTCTTTGGCTTTCAATTTGTTGTTGCTATTTTTTTCTTTTCAGTTTCAGTTTTGTTTTATGTACTGATTCTTTCGGTTTTCATTTAATTTTGTTTGTTGCTGTGTTTTATGCGCTGCTTCTTTCGATTTTCATTTAATCCGACTATCCTATTCTACTTACTGAAGGTTTCTGAAAAAGCTAAAAGGCTATGTTGGCAATAAGGCACGTCCAGATGGTTCTATAGCTGAGACTTATTTGATCGATGAATGCCTCACATTTTGCTCACGTTATTTGGCTGGAGTGGATACTGTATTTAATCGGCCAGAGAGGAATGACGATCATGTCAATCCTTCTTCTTCGAAGTATCACAAACTATCGGTTGTTTCACATGTGGGCCATCATCTAGGAGGAAACCCAAATATGGAAGAATTGAAAGGCAACCTTTTGGATGCCGCTATTTTCTATGTCTTGGAAAATTGTGATGAGTTGCAAGAATATTCCAGGTGGTTTAGAAATCCTATAGCATCATATTTTGGAAGATTGTTTTTTTCTTTTCATATCTTATTGATCGATCATATTGTTTGTGTATAGAGAACATAAAGACATGTTAGCTTCCAGAGGTGTGCGTCGGATTGAACTAATGCACAAACAACAATTTGCACAATGGTTCAGCAAAAAGGTAAGTGCACTCATTGTTTATGACTTAGTAAATTCATAAGAAATGCTTATTGATTCTTATCATCTTAATTGTAGATTATGATGACATATTAGGAGCATCCTCAAAGTGTGAGTCTTTCTCTATTATCTCTAGCTCGTGGACCAGATAAAAGAGTCAACTACCACTCAGGTTACTATATTAATGGGTTCAGATTTCACTTAACAAATCGCGAGCAGAATAGACGTACTCAAAATAGTGGTGTGATGGTGAGAGGGGAGAATTATGACAACATCCCTTATTATGGGACTCTTATTAAAGTCATTGAACTGCGATACACAGAAGGCCTTCGAGTTGTGCTTTTTCAGTGTGATTAGTATGATATAACTCGTGAAGGCACTGGCTATAAGAAGGATCATCATGGTATTACTACCATCAATAAGGCACGACTATTGAATACTCAAGAACCTTTTGTCTTAGCCAGTCAGTGTACACAAGTTTATTATGTGCCCTGTATCAAAGATCCTAACTGGGCAACAGTTATTGAAACAAAGCCTAGAAATTTGTTTCAGATGCCAGATGATGTTGGTGATGATGGTGATGGTGGTGACGAAGCATACCAAGAGGAAATCATTTCAGTAACTACTCCTCAAGAGACTGGAAATGATGAAGATGATGGAATAAATTGGAGTAGAGAGGGGCTTGAAGACTTGTAGGTTGAGATGGATATTTTTGTTTTGCTAAAATATTTATGTGTTTCATATCGACAGTTCCATTTTTCTGGTACCATGTTTGATAAATAGATGTTATAATGAATTTGAATGTCACTGCCCTTTCACAGATCACGTCCCTTTGCTTCCTCTTTGGTCAATGTATAAATCAAGCACCAAAATTACCACCAATATGATAACGCCACCTCTCCCATTAATTGTTCCTTTTCAAAGGGATTAATGTACGTAATAAATTCTGAGGAACAAATTTCACTGACGGGTTACAGGCTGTCGCAATCCAAAGAATGAACATAGTGACAAAGGTTCAGATTTTACCGACGAGGAATAGCCTTTGTCACAAATATATTTTTTTACGACGAAACATTACGAACGAACAAATGATATTCATCACAAATAACCATGGCGCCAATTTTTCCCTCCAAAAATTAGACTTAGTGGCAAAAATTCATTTTTTTTTACCGACAAGATACAACCTTCGTCACAAATACATAAAATTTTGACGAAACATTATTGACGAGAGTGTAACGTCATCCCTAAAAGTATTCTTTGCGACGAATTTGACCTGCCCTCGCTAAAGGTTGTCACTAATGCCTATCTTTTCCGACGACATGTAGGCTTTGTCACAAAAGCAATGTTTTGATGGAACATTACTGACGACCAGATTTTATTCGTAGCAGGTAACCATGGCGCCAATTTTTCCCTCCAAAAATTAGATTTAGTGACAAAGATTATTGTCTTTATCGACGACGTCTATGCTTTGTCGCAAATACATAACTTGTTGACGGAATATAATTGACGAAAGTGGAATATCGTGCCTAAAAGTCACTTTTAGCGACAAAATTAACACATCATCGCTAATTTTTGTCACTAATGACCCGTTTTTTTGTAGTGCACAATACAAATTGATTAGTCGATTGATTTGTCTAGTCTTGATGCACTCGTCAGCTACTACGGAGATAACCTTTTCAACAATGAAACATGTGAGAACTGATTTGCGCAACAAAATGAGTGAGAATTTCTCGCTGATTGCTCAAGTATTTTATTTGAAACGATGTATTCTATTGGTATGAATGTGGAGTGCATTATTGATGCATTCGCTAAATTAAAATATCGTAATATACAATTGACATTGTAAATAAAATTATTTTTTTACTGTTCTAATTTTCAAATAAAATGCCCCCCAGTGCTCTTTTGTGTTCTGGATCCGCCGGTGCTTGCCAACAATTTTTTTTTTGTTTTATAAGAAAAGAATATAATGGGAATGATTTCTTCTTCCAATTAAACCATTTTCCAAAAAGGCAACAGGTTTAATTAATGTTTTGACCATGGAAATAATTAATACGTTATCTCTACAATTATGAGGTTTCCATGCATGTATTTTACACGTATAATTCTATCTGATGCCATTATAAATGTGCAGAACAATGTGTAGTTTGGTTATTATTCAGAAAAGAGAATAGATAGACCGAAAGCATGTCGAAATTCGACTCTTCTTCTCTACATATTCTTACTCTCGTCGTCCTCGTATCCAGCGTGAACCTAGTACTCTGCGACGCCACCATGAACGGTGACAGAAAGGCTAGTGATTGTTGAATCTAAAGTTCAAAATTTGGGTTTGTAACCCCGCGCTGAATTTTTTCAGATAAATTTACAGGTTTATATCGTTTACATGGGAGCATTGCCTGAGCATGACTACTCCCCATCATCTCACCATCTTTCTCTGCTCCAGGAGGTTGTCGACGACAGGTTGAGATCATCGAAATTCTGATTCGAAATTGTATTTCTTCAAACAATACATCTCCTGTTTTTTTGTCTTTAATTAATTAGAACTAATCATGGAACTTGATATCGTGTCCAGCCGAGAATCCGAAGCATTAATCAGGAGTTACAAAAGAAGCTTCAATGGATTTGCAGCCTATCTTACCGACGAAGAGGCGAAAAAGCTTTCCAGTATCTAATCTCTCTCAAACGCCTTTATTACTTTACTTTGACAGCGTAATAATTCATGGTTTGTAAATCTCTGAGTGAGTCTGTCTGATGATTTCCTGCAGGCAGGGACGACGTCGTCTCTGTTTTCCCGAGCAGGGAGCTGGAGCTTCATACAACGAGATCATGGGATTTCATGGGTTTCTATCAGCCCACATCAGTAACCAACCTTCCTGCAGCTGGTGACGTCATAATTGGGGTTATAGACAGTGGGATTTGGCCGGAATTGCCAAGTTTCGACGACAGGGGTTACGGTCCTCCTCCGGCGAAATGGAAGGGTGTTTGCAACGGTGGAACAAACTTCACCTGCAACAAGTAAAATGGCTATATATAATATATGTGCTCATTGATTAATTCTCTCTTCTTTTTTATATTTTTTTTTCACTACTTGATTTTATATCTTCCAATGGGTTTCCAGTAAGATAATCGGAGCACGGCATTACTCGGGGACCGGTTCAGCGAGGGATCTGCAAGGCCACGGCAGCCACACGGCATCAACGGCGGCAGGGAGCGTGGTAAAGGACGCCAGCTTTTACGGCGTGGCAAGAGGGATCGCCAGAGGCGGAGTTCCTTGGGCTCGAATCGCAATTTATTCGGTGTGCGGCCTCACTTGTTCGTCGGCGGATGTTCTGGCCGCCTTCGACGATGCCATCGCTGACGGGGTCGACGTCATAACCATCTCGATTGGGAGGAGGTCCGCTGTTGACCTCGATAAAGACACCATCGCCATTGGCGGATTCCATGCGACCAAGAGAGGGATCTTGACGGTCCATTCGGCCGGAAACGGCGGGCCGGATCCTGCCACCACGGCGAGCGTGGCTCCGTGGTTGCTCTCTGTTGCTGCCAGCACCATCGACCGGAAGTTCGAGTCCAAAGTTGTTCTCGGCAACGGAAAGATTTTGACGGTAAACAAACACTTTTTTGCTGTTTAATTCTTTTCAATCTCAAAAAGGGTGATTGTTGATCTTAAGGGCGGTACTTTTTGATTTCGAAAACAGGGGAGTTCGATAAATGGATTCACGGAGAATGGGGAGGAACTTCCGTTGTTGTTGTACTCAATCAATGGAAAAATTGGATGCACTACAATCTGCCAACCGGGATGCTGTGACAGTAGATTGGTGAAAGGCAAGATCTTGATTTGCGACTCCATCAACGGGCAGTTTTTGGCTCTTCAAGCTGGCGCTAAGGGAGTCGTCTTCCCTTACGCAGAGCTCGACACCGCCTCCGTCGTCTCGTTGCCGGCAGCTGGGATGGATCCCAAGAGATTCGATGCCATCGCCTCCTATCAGAACTCTACCAAGTAGATTCGTCGACGTTACTACATCATCAACACCCACATTCTGAATCTGATTTCCCTTTTTCGTGTGATGACCACGACGTTTATGATTGTGCAGGAATCCCGTGGCAAAGATACTGAAAAGTGACACCGTGACGGATCCCGGAGCTCCGGCGGTTGCTTTCTTCTCTTCCAGAGGCCCGAATGTCATTGCGTACGCCATTCTCAAGGTACGTACACTACAATCGGGATTTTGCGCATGTCTGATTTCTAACAATTAAGGTAATAAATATACATACTCTGTTTTTCTTTCCTTTCCTTTCTCTAGCCGGATGTGAGTGCTCCTGGAGTTGATATATTGGCAGGGTGGTCTCCAGTAGCATCTCTCTCCGATGATCCGAACGACAAAAGACAGTACCATTTCAATGTATTATCGGGCACTTCTATGGCTTGCCCGCATGTTGCTGCCATAGCTGCTTATCTCAAATCTCTGCACCCCAATTGGTCCCCTTCCGCAATCAAATCCGCCATCATCACCACCGGTAATTAATGAACCTTCTTTCACTGCTGCTTATGTCTTTTCCTAATAATATAATGTTGAGTACTTCCTTCTCTCTGCAGCGACTCCCATGCGTCCTCAGAATGTGTCGGACCCAATTCTGGCACTCGCGTCGGCGGAATTCGCATACGGATCAGGGCAACTGAGTCCAGTGAACGCCACAGACCCAGGACTTGTGTACGAAACGACGGCGGAGGACGACCTGAAGTTGCTCTGCCATTTGGGGTACGGTACCAGCAGAGTCAGAGTAGTCACTGGAGATAAGAACATTAGCTGCCCCGCTAGAACTAGCCCAACTGCGATAAAGGATTTCAATTATCCTTCTATCGTCATTCCCGTCCCGCCTAAAAGCGATTCCTTTGAAACTGGGTTGCTCAGAACGGTGACGAATGTGGGATCGGCGGCTAATGCAACGTACAAAGCCGAAGTTGTGGTGACGACGGAGAGCGCGAGGGAACTGAAGATCGAAGTGAAGCCGGATGTCTTGTGTTTTGATTATCTAGGTGAGAAGAAATCGTTTAACGTTACTGTTTGTGGTGGTAATTTTTCGGCGGATCCATTTGTTGCGTCGGCTGCATTGATTTGGAGCGATGGGACTCGTAGTGTTCGTAGTCCGATTGTTGTTTACACTCTGCCACCTATGTGACTTTTTTCATTGCTTATTGATGAATAATTAAGGGGTGTAAGAGCAGCTGCATCGGGTGTTGGATGTACGGGTATGGGTATTACCCATAGGTACCCAAAACCCACGGGTATGGGGATGGGTTTGCAAAACATTCCTCCCCATGGGTATGGGACGGGTGAGTTTGGGTATTTGAAGATGGGGATGGGGATGGTTTAAGCAAACCCGCCTCCATTGCCAATCCCTATGGAAGACAAAATGAAATTGCAAGTGGTTCCCGTTAGCATGTTTTCTCTTCCCTTTTTTTTTAATTTTTTTTTATTTTGGTGTTCTTTTATTTGTTAAAATAATGCGGCTTAAATGTTTAGTTATATTGAAAAGTGAGCTGGGCCCACCATACGAAATAGAATGTAGATTTCATTGATGTAGAGCAAATGAAATTGATGTGTTGTGAAATGGTGAAAGTTGGTGATGTGGTAGTAGGGACCACATATGAAAAAGAAATCATGTTTTATTGATGTGTATGGTCTAAGCTTTAAATCTATAATATATACGAGGTCTTAGTGCCCGGCTCTGCGCTGGGATGTGTGGGATTGTCAATCTTATTTTAGGAAAAAATGTGTCTATGTACCTGACTATTAGCTGAGCATAATGAGTTAGTACAATTTTAGTGGTGAATGAAGTTGTATTCTCAGCGCTATATGATTTTCACATTTTTATTTTCATATTCACATAACTATAGTAGATTGTGTTATTTTCTTTGTATTTCATAGTCTACATCAATGTAAGTTTTTCCAAGCAGTCTTCATAAGTCAATCTAACAGAGAATGCTATACCTGAAAATGGTTTTATATTGGTTAGAAATAGTGCAATTTTAGTCATGGTTTGATCTAGCTGTTTTTTAATAAGTAGAGACAGTCAACTTGAGTGGTGATTCAATTAGTGAAAGGCACCATGGAGACTTAATTGATGCATTCCCAATTTCCCATAATGAACTAAGTATGGCTGACAATTCAAGAGATTTACATGTCGTTGATTGGCCCAAGGGAAAGTGCAAAGCAGTATTGTTCTCTTCCAGATCGCGACAGTGAAATATAATACTGGTTGGAAAGATAATGTGGATTCATATGCCTTTATGGGCTTCCAACTTCGGCCCATTTGTGGCCATCGATATGTTTAGGTCCAGGGGCTGATAAGTGAAACGGCGGCAGGCTTGTTCGTTTACAACAAACACAATTTTGTTGAGAGTTGCAACTCAATGGATCAAAAGAGTTTTCTCAAACGTAGTTTAATTAACTTCTGAAGAACATGAAGAACATCAAAGTTGTACCCAGAATTTAAGATGGTGCTATATTTTCATCTTGTTTTCTTTTTACATCCAAACCTGTATAACCTGGAACTACCCACCACCGCATCTGCTTCAAATATGTGATTCAAGCCTGCATTATACGAAACTTGAATTAATTAAAAGTTCATTTAATGCTGTAAATATATTGTCCCTATGATCTAACTCGAAATCGTATCTAATGAATTCTAACAGGTTATCTAACATATTGATATATGCTTACCTTGTGAACTCAATTTGTGCTAATATCCGTGAAGGCTTCTGAGAACACAATGTTTCTTGTATAATTATCTAGCATGTCCTCCTCATTTATGATAAGAAATCTTAGGCCAGCTGCAGATTTGACTCTGGATGCAGCAACGTATAGTTGACCATGACTGAACTGGTTTAGGTAGATAAACTCCAACTTTATCAAGTGTTTGACCTTGACTTTTGTTAATGGTCATTCCATAACATAAGCGTACTGGAAATTGTCACCTTTTCAGCACAAACGGCCACCTCTTGTCTTCTATGTTGAGCACAATTCGTGGTATCGCCACAGGTTTTGTATCAAATGATCCTCCCATAATGTGTCCTATGATTGTATTCTCACCGAGTGATGTTATCATTATTCTTGTTCCGTTGCATAATCCACTTGGTGGACTTAAATTTCTGAGCAACATTATTGAAGCATGAACCTTGAGTCTTATCTCGTGATCCGGGACCCCATTGAATGTCAATGTATTGAGAAACTCAGGAGGGTATGTTTCACTGAACGATTCTGGCACCTCTGTATCAAGTTGCATTGAATCTGCACTAAAGTAGGAATGACTTGGCCTAGACAACTTTTGTAACATGAAATCATTGATTTCAGTGACAACAATATTTGTCGGTGTCACAATTGCTCTACTCTTGAGATATTTTGTGTCCTTGTAATTCTCCTCAAATGAGTTATATATGTCTGTTGTTATTGATTGAACTGGATTGTTTCCAGGAGCAATCAAGAACATCCTTGGTATTTCAATCCAGTCTGAGGGGGCATTCGGTACTAAACACTTTGTTGGCAACTTTCCATCTCCAATAGCAAGTATCCACTGTTCAAAATTCTGGCCACTACCTATCATCATTCTGTTTTCCAGGGATTCATTGAGTCTCATGTTTCTTTCCAGTTTCAGCACCGTAAAAGCAGGCCATAACACTGATCTAGGTATTGATCCATCAACTGTTTGTTCTCTTCCAGATTCTGTGATGACTGGCAAAGTCTGTCTGAAATCCCCACCAAAAATAACTGTTTTACCACCAAATAACTTATGGCCCACTCCCACTAATGGTACATTCATCAGATCACAGAATGTCCTACTGATTGCTTCAAATGCGTGCCTGTGAGTCATCGGCGCCTCGTCCCAAACTATCAATGAAGCTTCACGTATGAGTTCAGCTAAGTGAGTTCCCTTTTTGATCGAACAGGTTGATATGTTGTATACATGAAGTGGTATTTTGAATCTTGAGTGAGCAGTGGTACCATTCGGCAAGAGAGTTGCTGCGATTCCAGATGAGGCAACAATAATTGCTATTTTTGACAAACTTTTTAGTTTTGCAATGATGGCATTATACAGGAATGTCTTACCTGTTTCTCCGTGGCCATATAAGAAATATGATTTTCCAAGATTGTTGTTGATTGATAACATAACAGCTGAGAAAGCTTCAAACTGTTGTACATTGAGAGAATGCAGCATTGTGTCTGCTAGTTGTTTTTCGTTATCAACATCAAAGTCTAGATGTTGATTAATAAGGGGGTTTGATCCATCATCTGGTTCTGAATCTGTTGGTCTTGGAAGGTGGAATTGTTCCAATGACGAACCATGAGATCCCAGCAAACTCTCCAGCTCATGAAGAACCCAATTTTGCAGCCTCTCATCTGTGGGCTGAAATGTTGTTGAATGGAGCTGTTTTCGAAGGGAATATGCATGATCTTCACTCATTAATTTCCATGATGACTCAAACAAAGCACATGGATTAGGTACCTCACAAAACATAAGCATTGAAACAAAGGTTGTTCTTATCACGTGTGGCATGCTTGAAGCTGAGATTTCTTGGAGGACTTTTATCCACTCTGAAGAGTCAGAGAGCAGACCTAATTTCTCACATGCTTTCTCATAAGTGCTGCAAATCTCTCCTCTCACAGTTCTCAAAGCAAGAAAACTCATGGCTCCATGCACTTTTGTCAATAACAACCTGAGAAAGAATACATCGCTGCTGCCCGGAGGAACATATGCAATTCTTCCTATAGCAAACCCTCTTTTTCTTGGAGTCCACTCATTGTATTCTTCATTCCATGTATATGAACCTGGTATTTGAGCATATGTAAGCTTTCTCGCATCAGGGTCATGTATATTTAGTTCAAACCAAGTAGTTAGATGAGTTTTTCTAGCTTTTGGATTCTTTAGAACATTTCTAACATTTGACTGTCTTCGATATGATACATTTTGCTGTCCAGGCAGGTGTACAGCAAGGCGAACAACGTTTGGTTCCCTGTGGTGAATAGGATACTCGTTAATCCTCCATACAGCCTCATAAGAAAATAGTGATCTGCAATCAATGAATTCCTGTATTTCATCCTTTGTTTTCTTTGGATTTGTGGAGGGAACTTGTGCTGAAGTAGTCGAATCCTCGGCAATGATGAGAGATCTGTCCGATCCCTTAGTGATATACTTAAACAAATACTTCACTAATCCCCCTTTATGACATACTTCGACATTAATATGAGCTTGAGCTCTGACTAATAAGTTCCGGTTGTATGGAACAACGTACCTATTATCCACCATTGTTTTCCCTTTCTGTACTTGAATTCCTGAATCTCTGCGTCGATACACCACATTCTCGAACTTATCAAAGGCGGTTTCTGAGCAGAATTCTTTGGGGAAGTGCTTTGAACATTTTCCATCTTTCATACATGGTGCATTCGGGTTGTCAATGCCACAGGGTCCATGAATCATGAACTTGACAACGGCTGCATGCCCCTCTGGATCCAGGTGAGGATCAGGGATTTCTGCTGAAATCATTCGTCTATATCGCTTGTTGTCTTTAGTTTGTCTTCTGCTGCCAACCATATGAGCATGTGCACAGGTGGGAGTCCTCTCTTTTAGAATTCGACTGTGTATATTACTGCTGCAATAAAAAATGGTCATTTATTTGAACTTGACAGCTTATAATGCAACCAGAAAAGAGTTCTCAGAGCACGTACTTGCTATAGTTTTGCCAAAGTATCCTTCTCTTTTGATTTCATCAATGAACATGTTGAGTTTCATATGAAAGACTCGACAAACTACCATTGGTTTCAGCTCACTGCTTGTGCCCACGATATCGGAAAAGGCTTCTGTGATTTCTTCCCAAAGAGCGTTACATGTAAATGTAACAAACAAATCTGGATTTCCATAATATTGGCAGGTTGCCATTGCATCGTGATAGAGTTGTTGCATATATCTTGGGCCTCCTGTATACGAAGAAGGTATTATAATTCAGCCAATTTTTTGACCGTCTAAATCTCCTTTTGCAAATGCATCTTCCATTCCTTGATACACTTCAGCCCTCAAGTCTTTTTGATGTGTCCTTAAGAATGCCAACCGATTGAGCTCGATTGTTGAAAATGCATCAACGCAATAGTGTTGCAGCGCCTTCCCACTTTGGATCAGTGTATGTCCCTCATTTCTTCGATATTGAAGTCTGTAAGCGTAGTATTCTCTTTGTGTGATGAACTTTCTTCTCATTGATGGTGGACAAAAAACACTGTTATATGGAATTTGAGGATGAAAACCATCCTCCCCATATGGGAAAAGTAAAGGAAAGTGCAGCGCCTCAAATTTTGGATTAAGACTTGTAATACGTTTCAATCCTTCACCTTGATGGTCCACAATAATGTCTTGGTCCTCCCTATCTGGCACAAAATCACCTGGTATCAATGCTGCAATGTCACTGCTTGTCGGTAAGTCGTACTGTCTATTTCTGCTTTTGATTCCAAATATTCGAAGTCGAAAGTTTGGTGTTGAGGATAACTGCAGATTTTGTCGAATACGCCTAAACGTCTTCACTAATTCATTCGTTTCATCAAGCATTCTGAGCAAAGCAGCAAGTAATTCAGGCAAGAGCACTTCCTCTCGTGATGCGAAGTTTGCCATGCTATTGTCAATTTCGCTGTCAGGCTCGAAGATGTACAGTTGAGCAAACTTAGGCCGTTCTCCTTCACTTGGCAGCAAGGAACCAATTCTATGATAATTCTCACCACAAATAACCATTGAATAAGGTCCCCTGCTTCTCAAAGACCAAGGATCCAGCTTTGCTCCAAAAGATGTGAAACACATAGATCCATTATAAGGCCTAATATTTTCTCTGAAATGTTTCGACATTGCTCCACCATTCAGATCAAGCAATTGGGCAAGTAGTGGAGGTGGCTGTCTCAACAATGGAATATTGACCCTTCCTTTTTGACAACAGAGAGCATAGATTGGATTTGCTGTTTTTCTATGACGATCCAATCTTTCACTGTACCAAAAGAATGCACCACAGAATCGACAAATACATTCTGGTTTGCCCACAGTTAATATATCATTGTGCAGAGGTCTTCTTGCAGTAGGAACATTCTTAGAGGCAGGACTGCATCTTTTTGCTGAATGGTGATGTGGTACTGAGTTTTTTGAGGTTTTATCATCAGCTTGTGCCATGTAAGGATCCAAAGGAACTGTGGTTGTAGTGATATCTTCTTCCTGGTCTGCATCTTTTCCTGAGAATATAAGTGGTAGGAGGCGCGATTTTTTGTTAACTCTGGTGTTCTCCAAGGGTATTGGTGAAAAAGCAATTGTTGGATCATGAGAGGCTCCTGAAGTAAATGGGGTGTTGCTTCTTTTCTGTTTAGATATTCGACATATTTTTGGTTTTTTTCTTGGTGTCATGCTGCACTAACAGAGTAAAACAATGAGGTATCAGCAAGAAAATCATGAATGTAATCTGAATGAATCAACAACAGAGAATGAATGTCATGCACCATTTGACAACAAATAAATGCCTGACAGAGTCATAAATAAGGTTTCATGAATGTAAACATCAATGAATTAATTATGCAGTCATGTTGGACAGATCATGAGAAATACCAACCTATCACTGTGAATTCAATCTCTGCAGTATGTTGCTGAAATGGATGAATCTCAAATGATTCCTTTGAGCAACCTTGCTGCATTAATGGTGTACCCAGCAGAGAGCTCTGCAGCAGTAAAGGTTCAGAGCAATTGAGAAATGGAAACTAATGAACAAAGAAGAACTCTATTGCTGCATTAATGAAATTCCAGAGTCTGACTCTTTGATCCTTTTCTAGTCTCTACATTCACATCATGATCAATTCTGATACATAGCATTAATTAATTGGCAGGCAAGTGGTGTCCACATGGAGGCATTAATATTAATATCAATTGTACTTGCTGAAGGAAGGTAATCATGAATATTTATATTATAATGCAGAAAAATCTGTATCATTAGGGCCCAAAGAGAGCATTATTTGTTTGGTCATGCCTAATGTAAATTTCAACCATCTAGTTTTGGTTTGTATAAAGAGAAAAAATATTGGACATCTGTTTTTATAGGTACAACTGATTCATTAACTAAAATAGTAAAACTATATCGTACAAATGTGTTTCGTCAGCAACATTTTGTTGAGCAATTAAGTTATTCGGTGGTTCATCTAAAACTACAAATTCATTTATGCTTATGAAGCTATAGCTTGACCACATTAGTAAACGAAACAAATTACCTCACAACATTGTCTCACACATGATGAAATTGTACAAAACAAATTCCATTGGCATGATTTGTTCCGTGATCATGAATTTCATTCACGTATTTGGATCAAACCAAGAGAAAACTGAAGAACTATGAATGGTTGTTCTTAGCTAAATATCATTAATTGATTCTTAATTCATACCCAAAGTAAAGCATCAACATCCTTTGTGACTACTTGGATCTCACACTAAAAGAAACCAGAGGTCTACATTACACAAATAACATAGATAAGGCTTGTGGATTCCATATATAACTACACCATTATATTTAGAAATAGAAATATCAGTTAACAGCAGGGAAACACCATTACATTTAGAAATACCAGTTAAGAGCATGGAAGCAATTCATAAAATATTTACAATAACATGATACTACTTCAGTCCATTAATGCACTAAAGATTACTAAAGGTCTTGTGCTTTGCTAACAAAGTTTCCAAAATGATCCTTCCAAAAGTTTAACTGACACACAAAGCACACACCAGCAAGTTCCCCAAAGCCACGAGAAAAGGTTTCATGACATTGACAAAATACATCATCCCAGTAATAACAACCATTCCTCCTGAGCCCACAACACCCCCTGCAAGTTCAGAAAGATGCAATTAATTTAAGGTAATTCATCCCAACAACACTGAGTTTTTTTTTGTCACACAAAGGCAAAAGAATACCTTAATTATCATAAAGGCGACGTTTAGCAGAAGAAGGCTTGGTGGACGTCGGTTGTGAAGTCAGGTCTCCAAGTGAGAATGGAGCAGAATCCTGAGTTGCTTCCCTAGCTTGCTTGTTGCTACCCTCCTGAGACCTAGCAGATTCCAGCTTTTCAATCTTCACTTTTGCCAATGGAGAAGCCAACCTAGAGTGAAAGGAACCTAATCAACCAAAAGAAGATGCATATATGGCCAATGCTCATGGTCTAAGGTACGAAACACTCACATTGCACCAGAAGGCGATGAAAAGGGTGGGGTTGAAGATGATGTCTTCTTGATTTTACTCTGGGGAGTAAAATCACTCAGGTCACCAAGTGAGAATGGAGCAGAATCCTGAGTTGATTGTCCAGCTTGCTTGTTGACACCCTCCTTAGACTCAAACGATTCTAGCTTTTCAATTTTCACCTTGACCAATGGTGAAGCCAACCTAGAGTGCAAACAACCAAATCAAACAAATATGTATATTTGGCCAATGCACATTGTCAAAGGCAGGAATTTCTCACATAGTATCAGAAGGTGATGAAAAGGGTGGGGTTGAAGATGATGTCTTTCTAATTTTACTCTGGGGAGTATCGGAATCTCCCACAACAGCTGACAACGAATCCAAAGATTTCTACTCGCAAGAACTCATCAGATCCGCCCTATCACTGTTTACTAAAAATGGGGGTATCTCTGGAATCTTCACATCAGCAACAGCCTTAATGGTAGTATCTTGGGGAGGACCAACAGAACTGATAGGTAGCGAACCCTCATTTGCTGAAACAGCAAACACAGAATCCTGATTGATGTTTCTGGAAACACCATCAGAGGCTGAAAATGCTCTCCTTGAAACACCTTCCTGCGGAGACTGAATTCCCAAATTGCTAACACCAGAACTCTCCTTGATGACCAACGGACCATGAGATTTACTGTAAGATATTGCAAAAACATGTTAGTGCCACCCGGATTCAGGGCAGGAAACCAAGCAAACCATCAAAACATAATTGACTAAGAGATAAATTCAGAAACAACTTGAGAGGTTGCCTTGCTGCCTGAGTAATATTGAAAGTTGGATTGTAGTTTCCAGGCAGCACTGTGCCTGATATCTTTTCCTTGCCTTTGGAAGAGCTGAATAAAATCAAGACAGACAATCAGAGCAGGGCCCCCAGAGCATTTTAAAACATACCTCCTGAAAGAACCAACAAAATGGGTTAAAAAGTGACCAAACCTTGTTGGAGCGATAGCAGAACAGCTAACTTGGGATGGTTCAGGCACCCCAGCCAACAAAAGCATTCCACCTTGCTCAGTAACACCTTGAGGGACAGAAGGATCAACAGTTGGGTGCACTACAGATTCTATAGCAAGAAGTGGTTCTTGATTATCCCGGGGAAGCACCCGAAAAACCCTGAATTCCCCTGTTGACACTCCATTAGAACCCATCATAGGAAGTTTGACCTCGAATCTAACAAACTGGCCCAACAAAGCCTCAAGCTCAGGTGGAAGCTCGTGAGGCCTACGAGGATATCTTTGGGCAAGAAGCTGAGCAGATGTGAATACCAAATTATTTCCACATGGTCCAAAACTATAAAACGAGCTTCATTTGTTGAATCACGCAAGGTCAGCTGTATCTTGTACCTACATACAGACACATAGAGGAAAGGAAGAAACAATTAGATTCCATCTTCTGCCACAAAACAATCAACCAGCATACAAAAAGAGTCTTCACGACAGGCTAAAAAATGAAAAATTTCATAACAGGTGAAATGAGTGTTTACCCAATCGTGACATGCTGTTCAGAAATTTCCCAATTATCTGGGCACCAATAGTTACCATTCCTCCACGTAGAACACTTCTTTTTGCACATGTTACATGATGTGTAGTACCATGGACTGCGAGACTCAACAGATCTTATTATCCCACCACAACGATGCCTTTCATCCTATTAAAACATAATTTAATAAAAAAATACAAAATATCAGAAATCAACCAACGAAAAAATATGCAGGTATGAAACAACAAATAACCAAAACAAACAAAGTTAACCACAAAATTATAACACGCACCACCGAACCATCGCTATGGTACAAATCAAGCAGCTCAGCTATCGTCCTTGTACGACGCTGAGCATCAGCAGCAGCATCTTCAGGTGTTGCAAATTGAACTGCCAGTTCCGTCACAGGATTCCTAGCTCCACCGAAGCTGTAATAATCAACATCAAGGAAAATCAAACACAACCAAAAGTAGTACAGGCCAATTAGAAAAGGAAAAACCAATACTCACAAAGTTGTCAGGCTGTATGCCTCAGGAATGCGAGGGGTAACAACTATACGGGTGCCAGAAGAACTTGAACAGGTGTACTGACCCACTGAACATCAATAATTAACAAAAATGACAACACCCAAAGGCAAAATCAGGAAGGCACCCCAACTAACAGAAAAAAATAAACAAAGAACAAAAGAATACCTATCAAGCGGCCAACCATGAGACTCCCCACTCCAATGATGACTGGCTCAATGGAATCAGCCTGAACCAGAGCAGCACGATCCAAGACTGTAGTCAAATCACCCTAGAGAGTAATGGCAACCTTCTGGCCCCTAAGAGCACAAAACCAATTCAACAAAGAATAAAAAGAAATACAGGGGAAAACCATCAATCCACTAAATAGGACACACAAATCCGTACTGGGCATTCTCAAGGACCAAGGAGTGTTTTGGAGTGGATCCATTACTGGTGACTTGATGATCAATCCCACTAATGGAATGAAGACGTCCAACAACATCTGGGGAAAAGTTCAGGAAGCAAACCATAATAAGCAAACAAACAAAAACAACAAATAGCAAATGTAAAAGCAAATGGCTAAATACCCGAGAGGATGCGGTGATACCCATTGCGCTTTGGCAAGTCACTGTATGGCACAACCTCGAAAGAGTCAGCAGGAAAATCAGCCGCGGGGAGAGAGCATGCCTGGAAAGTTGTGGTAACCGATAATTCCATGATGAGATCAAAAGAGTAGGCTCGGTATAGATTCCTCGCCACACCCTGACCAAAAGACTTGATTACATAAACAACACCAACACGCAGAACCCGCTCAAAATCATGACCAAAGGCTGCATCAGCAAGGCTCTGAATGAGCATGCCCTGTACACAGCCAACGAAAAAGGACAAAAAGAGTGAAAGATTAATAAAATCTCAAGAAAGAATAAGAAAGAGCAGAACAAACTATGAGGAAGATAAACACAAAGAGGATCTAAGCTTACCGTTTGATCTACCCAAAGACAGCAATGATTGAACACTCTGGTACCATCAGGATTCTTAGCAAACCACAAGTGAAGCAGTCGCAAACGGAGAGTAACTTCTCTGCTGCCTCCTTTGAGATTACACAACAAAGTAGCGTCCATTATCAAGACTGAGAGATGAAGAACCGACGAACAAAAGAACAAATAAACCCAGCCTGAGATACTATGACCAGAGAGGAGAAGAGAATAGAGAGAGTGTAGAAGAAAGAGAAAGAAAGTCTATTCCAAGGGCACAGTCTCGAGGAGTGGAAGATAGACAAATGGGCAATAGGGCAACAGTACTGAACAACCACGCCCTGCAATGATTTGAAATAAATCAAGAACCACACCCAGCAAGCCAAATCGACAGCTTTAAATCTGAGGCAAAAGAAATAAAAAGCAAAGGCAAATATGTCACCTCCGATCTGCAGAACCACCAAGTGGGGAAACCACTCTCAACGAACAACCCAGGCTTTTTCAAGCCCCCACCAGTCAACTCACCAACGGGAACAACGAAGCAACTGACAACACCTCGCTTTCTCCGGATACAACGAGATCCTGTGCGACCAACGCGAGCGAGCACAACCAAACAGCCCACAACCCAAATAAACAGTGCGTAACTACTGGTTTCATTCCAACCGAGCTTGCAAACCCTTTCGATTCCAAACAGGCAACAGCCAACGCTCGCCCACACACCAGCCAAGGCCAGGATAGAACAGTACAAATGAGTCACGTTATACAGTAAAAGCAGTCTGTGTGTGCAGTGCCAGGCCCTGCGGTGGGTTTTCTTATTCCAATTATCTTATATATAAAAGCTAGTTATCTTTCATATATAAAAGATAGGGTAAATTGAAAGATTGGTCACTAGGTTTACTAAAGACGTTCATGTTTGGTCACTACAAATATTTAATTTCATTCGTGGTGACTAAGATTAGTTCAATAGCTCAAGTTTGATCACTCTCCATTAGTCTCCTTTAATCTTTACTTATGTAGCAGTCAATCATCATAGTTGACCGTAAAATGAGTGACGTGACTATTAAAAAAAATACAAAAATAAATTTTTTTAATTTTACACTTATTTTTAACAACTATTGAAAAAGGAAAGCTAAAAGCTTGTTGTTCTCCTGTCGCCGGCGAACCCTCGGCTTCTCCTCCGCTTCTTCTGTTCATTCTTCAGTTCACTCCCTTCTCCCCGTGCGTGCAGACAAGCTCCGCCATATCGCAGACTGTACTCGGAACAATTTGAATGCCGGAAGGCATCCAATTCTAAAAGAAGGCATCCAATTTGGGGGAAAGGAGAAGAAACAATACAAACACATAGAGAGAATAATGTAATGGTTTCTGTTAAAGTGAAAATCTCGTCTAGGGTTGATTGCTTTTGTTTTTGGTTTCTTGTGGCTGTGCTTCCTATGGCATGACTGAAATGCACGTTCCACGAGAAAATAAATTCATTTTATCGGGACAAGTATTAGAAAGAAATACTAAAGTAGAACACATGTTTTTTTTTGGACAGTAGGACACTTGCTTTTCATTTCTTGTGGCAAAAGCCAAAGGGTTACAGCAGGGGAGCAACAACATCTAAAATATTAATCCATTCTGGGGGTAATTGATTCTTAGCACAGGATCGTGCCACCCAGTTAGCCTTTGAGTTGTGTTTCCTACTAAAGAACTCGTAGCGGATCCAAGGCCAAGATTCACCCATCTGTTTTATCCTTCCGATCCAAGCTGCTGCCCTCCATGGCCTGTCCGCAGCCGGACCTTTGACCACTTTAATAAGCTGAAGATAGTCAGATCGGATGAGGCTTGAACCTATTGTAGAATCCGCAAGTCGAGTTCCCTCAAGGAGGGCCTTAGCTTCTGCCTCAAGGGGTGAAAAGTAGTGTAACTTCTCAGCCTTCCCATCGCACACTTGACCATGGCTGTTTGTCACTACAACGCCATAAGCCGCCTCCTGGGAGTCGTGTAGGAACGACCCATCACAGTGTATCTCAAAGTCATGAGTACCTGGCGGTGGTGAAGAGAGCTCCGGTAGTGGATTAGGCTGTGAAAGGGGATGAGTGGAGCTCTTGATCATAGGGCATGAACTCCATTGATGGTAGCTAACTTGGGCATTTGCAACTGTAGCGGGAGGCCATAGCGTTTTGTTTCTGAAAAGAAACTCGTTCCTTGCCTTCCAAGTATGCCACAAAAGGTAAATGATTCTTTGGATTGATGGGATCGAGTATCTTTGCCCGAGGGCTGTGATCCAAACAAGGATGTCAGTGGACTGAGTGGGAGTGGGAAGCGTGGGCCATTCAACTGTCCAACCTTCCGCTGCGTGAGGACATTCGAACAGACAGTGGTGGATGGATTCCACTGGCCAGGAGCACAGCGGGCAGGTCTTCGTGGGAGCTCAGCGACGAGAGAAGAGGTTATCCTTGGTGGCAAGGGCTCCTCGACAGCACCTACAAAGGAAAAACTTCATCTTCGGTGGGAGTGAAAGGTTCCACACCCATTTCCATCCTTCTTTATGCTGAAGATTGGGTGACTGTGGAGATCCTTGTCCCCGCCTGCTCTGATCATGAAAGTGATGGAAAGCTGACTTGGCTGTGAATTTACCATCTTCCGTACATCGTCACACCCAATAGTCTTCCATATCATTCGGCCCAATCGGCGTGATTGAGATTTCCTTCATCACTCGGGGAGGGAGAAACTCCTCCAGCAAGTCAAAATTCCATGATCTGTGAACACCATCAATCCAACAGTCCACTGTGTTGAAGGAGACACCCTGGTCGAGCAAACAGCCATGGATCTTGGAAAGTTCTCGTTGATCGACCATTCCCAATCACACGAATTAAACCACTCTCCATCCATTTCCTTGCTTCCCAAAGACTGGAACAGATCCATGATGCTTTCCCGCCTTTTGCAGTCGAGAGAAAGTCCGATCGGGGGAGGTACAAGCCTTTGAGAAGTCTTACCCAGAGAGCTTCTAGGTTGGTGAGCATCCTCCAGCATTGCTTGGCAAGGAGTGCCAGGTTAAACTCATGAAAGGGTCTGAAGCCGAGGCCTCCTTCCACCTTTGGTGCGTACAACACTTTAGCATCTCTCCAATGGATTGTCTTCTTATATATCGACTCGCCCTAGAAGAATCTTCTGAGCATGGCATCCATCTTCCTTGTTGACAATCTTGGAAGCAAGAACAAGCATATAATGAATGAGGGTAACGCTTGAAAAACAGCTTTCAGAAGGGTTTCCTTGCCTCCATGCGAAAGCAAGAGGCTCTTCCAGGCCTCTCCCTTGCTCTCCATTCGCTGTGAAAGGAAATTGAAGGTTTCTGCCTTTGATCTTCCCCATTCTGTTGGGACTCCAAGATATTTGGAGTGACATATCGAATCAGCAAATGCAATGGTTCTTGTAATGTCCCCTTTTTCCTCAGGGCTCACATTACTGCTAAAGAAGGCTGTGACTTGTCTTTGTTCATCTCTTGCCCTGTGAGAGCTCCATAATCATGAATAGTTTTCAGAATATTGTCAGCTTCTGCAATTGATGCTTCGTCAAAAATCACCGTGTCATCCGCGAAGAGACAATGGGTGAGATTGGGACACATTCGGTTGAGCTTCAAACCTCGAATGGTATGTCTTCTTGCAGCATTTTCAATCAGGAAAGAAAGAGAGTTGGACATGAAGATGAACAGCAGAGGCGATAGAGGGTCACCTTGACGTATTCCTCTAGAAGGGAGGAACATCGTCGATGGTTCCCCATTAATAACAGCCGAAAACGGACCGAGCTGATACATGTCTTGACCCAACGACCCCATACATCATTGAAACCATAAGCACCCAGCAACTCAATGAGGAAGTCCCACTCCACAAGATCATACACTTTTTTCATATTCAGTTTTAGCATCATGTCCTTCCGATTGCTTTTTTTATGTTTCTTGAAATGGTTGAGAACCTCATGGACAATGATGATGTTGTCTTGGATCTGTCTGCCTCCAGTGAAAGAAGATTGTAATTCATTCACCAGCTCCGAAAGCCAAGGTTGAAGCCTGTTGGTCATGATTTTGGTGATAACCTTATACCTGAAATTGTAGAAACTAATAGGGCGGTACTGTCCTATCATCTCCGGGTTCTGGACTTTTGGGATGAGGGTGATGAATGGGTCATTCCATTCTTCTGAAAAGATGCTTGACCCGAAGAACCCTCTAATTTCTTCGCAGAAAGCGTCGCCCATTAGGCTCCAAAACTTGTGGAAGAAGAAACCGGGGAATCCATCCGGTCCTGGTGCTTTGTTGGCTCCGAGATGGAAAACCTCCTTCCTTACCTCCTCATTTGTGACAAGGGCCGTGAGAGAGTGGTTAATCTCATTGGAAACCAAGGAAGGGAATCCATTCAAAAGTGAGTGATCAAAGGATCCCCCTCTACTGGTGAACAGTCCACGATAAAAGCCATTAATGTGGTCATCGACTTCCTGTGCACCCTCGATCCATCTTCCTCTGTCATCCTCCAAAGAACCCAGTAGTCTGGTCCCCTTCCTGAAGCCATGAATTTCGGGACCTCTGTGCCCAGAACTCTTCTTCCGTGTTCCACATCTGCTGTAATTCCTGTTGAAGTGAATTTTCTTCAGTCGCCATTTGGGGTGTCCTGATCGGTCCTTGAATCTGTTGTAATCTATGCCTGATCTCCTTTTCTCTATGGCATCTACTAGCTCGTTCATTCTTTGCCCAGATACCAATTTTGTTCTGACATTCTCTGAGAATATTGTGAATACTATCTTCTGAGTTCTAGCAGTTACTGATGATCTCACAGCATGTGTCGTTATCCCTCCATCTCTTGTCAAACCGAAATGTGGTGTTAACCTTGCGTCTTTTGGGATTAAGGTCAATCCAGATCGGGCAATGGTCAGATTCAACGAAGTCCTCGTGGAACACCACCGAACTCAAACTCCACTCTCCAAGAGGGGGAGCAGAGTTCGCGGTCCAAACTTTCTCTAATCAGATTGGTGCCTTGTTGCTTGTTGGTCCACGTGAAAGGTTGTCCGGAGAAGCCAAGATCAATCAGGGCATTTTGATCGATGAAGTATTTGAAAGGCTCGACATTTTCATTCCTGAGGGGGCATCTCCCCTGTTTTTCAGACGACACCAACGCCACATTAAAATCACCAACCAGCAGCCACTACTCATCCTGAAAATTCCTTAGGGTCGTAAGTCGATCCCAAAGGGCCCGTCGCTCAACCACTGTGGTCGGGGCATGGATGAAAGTGCATAAGAAAACCACACCATCCTTACACACACTAACGTCCATATAGGACTTAAAAGAGTCAAGAACACTAACTTCGATATCATCCTTCCACCACAACGCTAAACCGCTGCCTTCCACTCCTGGGCTCACATATTTCGAGTGGTCAAACTTCAAAGCTCTCCTTTTTTCTTCAAGGAAGGAATCATCCTTCTTAGTTTCCATCAAGAATAACATTGAAGGGCCGAACTTGCGACACAGTCTGCCGCATAAACTTCTTGTAAGGAGCTGGCCAAACCCCCTATAGTTCCAGCTAATGATCCTCATTCTTGGAGAGGCGGCTTAAGGCTCGCCTCCGCTTCCTTCGGTGTTGTCGATTCCCCTTCCCCGGACTGCTCTCCATCAGCATTGATCTCCGCGATACTCCTTCTTCTTATAACCTGCCTCCTTCTCTGATATGTTTTCCTGCTTCCACCTGGTGAAAAAGAAATATAGTCCATGGAAAGGTTAGTGGGAATGCCCATCAGCGGCAGGGATATAGTGGGAGTATCCCTCTTTTCTGGTTTTCTTTTTTTCTCCGGTCTGGGCCTTATTTCCTCAGCAGCTTGCGCCAATAGGCTTTCCATGGTTGCGATTGGGTTTTGCTCTATTGTTTCAATCTGGGCCTGCTGGTTGGCCCACTCTTTTTGGACCTGTGGGTAGTGGGCTTGTGTGAGTGAAGGGCTTGCAAGTGAGAGTGACTGGCCCATTTCGATGAGGCCCGCTTGTCTGCTCCTCGTCGCCTCTCCTCCAGTTAGGTCGAGGCTCCTCTGCATCGCTATCGTCGCCGCCTCCATTTCTTCTTCCATAAAGTCGGTTTGTAGAGTCAGTGTGGGGCTTCTGACAACGCCTCTCTGGATCCACTCGTTGTTTCTCATCGTGGCCGGTGGATTAGATTCCAGAGCTGCAAATCCAGGAGGGCAGGATGCTGATCCTTGACCAGTGCGCCCCACTATCGACATCAGCGAAGATTCACTAGATGATCCTCTAAGGCAGTGGGCCCTTGTGTCAGCTCTCTCCATTTGTCTCGTTTTGGCCTGCTTTTCGCGAAATGATAACGGCGGCGTGTTTGCCGGCGAATCGTGGCCTGCCTTCAGTGCTGTCGTGTAAACTTCCGACGGGTCAGTGTTCAAACCTCTTCTGCGATGATCTTCTCTGTCAAGGCAGTTTTGGATTGGGTGACCTAGTCTTCCACAGAAATAGCACAGATCAACAATCCTTTCGTACTTGAAACTAACCCTGATGGACCTTTCACCCAGGGGGTATTCGAAACCAATCGGGACTGGTTTGTCGAGCTCCACTTCGACTTTGACCCTTATGAACTTTAGCCAACCTCGGAAATCAAAGTTCGACTGGTCGATACCATAGTAGTATAGGAAGATGAAATCTGCCACCGCTTGAATGGATTCTTCATCTTTGAGGGACTGGGGTAGGTCATGCATCTGGACCCGGAGGGTGACGGTTTGGATATCTATTGCTTCTGCTTTCTGCTCGCCATCCCATTTTTTCAGGGAAACCAGTGTATTTCCCAGGTTCCATGTCGTAGACTGCATCTCTTTGTGTCTCCGATTGGAAAGAGTAGAAAAACAGATTATCCGCTTCTTTTGTTGCCTGAATCTCCCCATAAGCTCTCCATTTGCTGGCTACTGCGTTCTTAGACTTCTGGATATTGATGTTTGTGTCAGTGATCCATTTGCCCAGGAGCATGGCCATGCCACTGCCTCTAGCCCCTGTTACTTTTGGCTTAACATTGAGCACCAGATGGCTCCTTTCACCTCTCAGATTCTGGGTAAGAGATTCCATCTCTGTTTGTGGGTGGGTGGGTGGGGGGGGGGAGATTGTTGGTATTGGTAGCGGAGAGGTCTCTGTTTGTGATGGAGTGATAGCTCATTCGATTTTGTAGGATGGTTTGCATGATAGTGTAAGGTTCTTTCACGTTGTTCATTAACTTCCCTGCTAATCCTCTTGATTTCTTTCCTGGATTTGGTCGCTGAAGAGCGACTCTGATTGGTGAAGGCTCCGTTAACGGCAGCTGGAGAGTTTCTGGAAACAAGATCCCCAACTGGTTTGGTTGAAGATAGCGAGTTCATGGGGAAAAACTTTAAGATGGTGGAGAGTTCGTTTATTACCCAATTGGGTAGCTTTGTTTCGCTAAGTAGAACACAGGTTGCTAGAAGATAAGTAGAGCAAAAGCCCCGTGGTAACTTCTACAAGAGAGACGCAACCAAGCAACGTTTCATCTCGATCTCCCTGGGCAAAGTCCGGCACGTGGGCTCTGGAAGTCGAGGAACAAGAGGCCGAGCTGGAGCAGCAACAACAATAGACGACGATTAAAGAGGCCACTGTAGATTTCTCTTCCCTCGCAGCCGCCGCCGCCGATCTCAAGCAGTCCAAGAAGAAGAAGAACAAGACGACGGCCATTCCACTGGCCTTGTACCAAGCAGGGAAATACGCCGATTCCTGAATTGAAGACCGCGACCCTCCCCAAGCGCCTCCGCGAGCGCTCGGCGGAGGAGCTCTACCAGATTCGCGGCGACGGCTTCAGATCCTACGGTATGAGCAGCTACCGGAGAGGTGACGATTCGTCTAATTCGCGCTGGAGCAGGGATAATAATTCTAGGTCTTCTGTGGGGACAGGTTACGGTGATTACTTAGTATTAGTAATCACCGTGGTTACTAAGGATAAGAATGGTATTTTATTAATATAATAATCATAACTACCATATTAATTACGTGATAATTAGGGAGAGATAATTACAGAAAGTAATTATTATAGCAATTAAACCACCGTGTAGGGGTTTGTGAGGTTTGGATTCGTAGTCTTACTCATTTTGTATGGTTGTACTGGTAGTGATCGGCAATGGTAGTGATCTTAAATATGTATGGATTGTATTGGTATAAATGTAAAGTTGGATTGATTGTGGTGTTATTCATTGGATTGGTATTGGTATTACGATGATCATTATTGAAATGGTATTGATTGTGCCTTATTGTGCAGCGTATTGTTGTGTCTGATTTTGTATTAATTTTGGTCATGTGCGTCAGTGACCATCTCCGACCTGCACCTAACGATTGATATAACTTACAAGATTCTTGCTTCTTGACCCTCCACGATTGGAGTTATTGGTTCTTGACATACGTAGAATTGAGATATGGTAACAGAAAACACATTACTCATTGAAGCAAGATTGGAAGCAATGGAAGATACTACTGTTATAGAAGGGATAAACCAATACCAATGCAAGATAAGATGCAATAAAACTATCATTCCACGCCAAACTGCACATGTGAAAACTACCATTCCACGCCAAACTACAATACAAGAACTACCAACACTACCATTGCAAGCATACCAATGAAAAGTACTATTCCACGCCAAACTACACATGTTAGAAGACAACTACCAAAACGATAAATCACTACCAATGCATACAAATCTCACCTAAGTGGTATACGATTGGAGGCTTCACCAATTGCACTGTCGAGCCTTAACCAATTGCTCGCCGACAAAATCCGGAGGAGGTGAAATCAACCTCGTCGGTGTGCCATGTTCAGTTGGAGTGGGAGAAACCGGGAAATGATAGGGAGCCATCGAACCCCTCGTCGATCTACCAACCGGGAAACAAACATCGCCGACCGCCCGACCCGGAGAGAAAGACAGCGGCGTCGTGGGCTGTACAGCGGCATCGTGGGCTGCACAGCGACATCGTGGGCTGTACAGAGTCATCGATGCCTACACGAAGTCATCATCATCGGAGATGGTGTAGGCGGCCGGCGCGATTAGTGGGACAGGAGTGGTGGAGGCAGCCAGCGGAGCTGGACAAGATAATCCTTCCTCTCGACGTCGATGGGAGCTTGCGGTTGCGTCAAGTTTGGCTGGAGGGAGGATAGAACTAGGGTTTGGGTAGATTATATAGAATAATCGGGTGTGGTCACTTTTTCAATTCCAAAATTACCCTAAATGAATCTTGATCGTAAGATTAAAAAAGAATTTCCTTAAAAGCCTTTTTATATGGTTCAATTTGATTTCAAGAAAATGAAACTCGAGGTTTAATTGAATATTGAGTGTTTGTGTATTGGTTGTGATTTTTTTAATTTTTATCAGTTTTTCAGTTTTGACCGAACAAAAAATGATAAGCACAAAAAAGTTTGGGACCGAAATCCAAAAACGATAAGAGTACATTATCTGTTCGTTTAGTTGAAATAATTTTTTTTTGAATCCAAAATGAGTTTGGGACTAAAATAAAAAAATGAAAAGAGCACCTTATCTTTTCGTTTAGTTGAAATAAAAAAAATTTGAATCCAAACTGATAGTCCTATGTATGACACACTTTGCCATCTTTCATTTTGATCTCCAGATTATCCAAAATCACAATTCATTGATTTTTTCATTGTTACCTGTTCTTTTAGTTGAAATAATTTTTTTTAATCCAAATTGAGTTTGGGACCGAAACCAAAAAACGAAAAGAGCACCTTATATGCTCGTTTAGTTGAAATAAAAAAAGTTTGAATCCAAACTGATAGTGCTATGTATGGGAACCTTTGCCATCTATCATTTTGTTTTTCAGATTATCCAAAATCTCAATTATTTGAATTTTCATTGTTACTATGAGGGAATTAGACATTGATGATGAATTCATTTTCTTTTTATTACACATTAGGTGAGGTGTCAACTACTTTCAAGAAATCCCTTTGTGTGGCTGGGTTTAGCCATTGAAAATCACTAATATGATATCACAGACCGAGGAGAGATTCAAGTTCTTTAGGTTTGATGAAAATGTAGTTTAAAGTTACATGAAAAGAATTAACGGAACTTTAGTGAGGATGAAAGGGTTTGTCATCTTTCCTCATTCCTCACATACACACAAATATACTAAAAGAAAAAGTCGTTATTATTTGATCAAAACTATTATATGTATGACTAAGGTGGGAGATTGCTTTGTATAACCAAATCAAACTAAAAATAAAATTTGGAAAATTCGAAACAAGTAATTTCCTTAAAAATGAACTATTAAGAGCCTTAAACAGTTCAATTTGATTCCAAGAAAATGAAACCCGAATGAATTTAATAATAAGAAAAATTCGTCAACTATAAAAATGGTTAATAATATAATTGATGGCGAAAGAGATATGAGGTATCTACAACTATTTCACTCCCCATTTAGTCAGAAAAGCCAGCTAGATAACAAGAAAATAAGAGTTTTTTGTTCCCAGTTTGTTTAGACCTACCAAGGTTCTAATAAAGCATGACCATTGTTTCTTACACTTAGGTCATGTAAATGTAGAACAAGTTTTTTTTTTATCAATTTTTAATTTGCTTGTGTACTTCATTGTTTTTCTTTCCTTTCATTAGTTTTAAGGAAAGGAAACCAATAAAATGAACTATGATTAGTGGTCTACATGAATCATGGTGAGTTAGTTTTAGGTCAAGTGATGCACAACCCAAATCAAATTATAAGACACATAAATCCATGTGTTTCGGGTGATGCGCGGGTCGAATTGGATTGATACTAAACATGTCTATACATTAACCAAATATAGTTGACCTCGATTCAGTTTATGTTAATCAAGCCAAATTAGTTGGTTATCCAAAATTGAATTATTGTCATTTTAGCAATTGTAATTGCTGTTGTTGTGGTTACTTGAGAACCGAATATTATTATTTTCGGTTATGTTGCGGTTAACCGCGTTCAACCAATTAACCTATTATGTCATTCTTTTTGGTTTAGGTTACCTAATGGGGTAGGCCATTGGGCTTTGGGGTAGTTTAATTTTGCGATTATTTGGGACTTTTGTTTTGCAGTTTGGTGTGCAGTTATCTTAATGATAGACCAATAATTACACATGTTTATACCCCTATTCTTGAGCCATTTGAGATGTTATTCTCGTGTTTAAAGCTTATTTCACGCTAGGTTGTGCGTTTATGTCATATTTCAGGACTTAGCATTGGCATCGAGGCGAAGAAACGAGTTTCGGGTCAAAAGGAGCACGTTTGGGTTGAAGTGTGCTGGAGGAGCAAAATACTCGGCCATGAGCAGAAATACCTGGCCGGGTATTAATCGGAGCAGACCGGGGAAAATGTGTTTTGGGCGTCTGATAAGCAGAAGGGGTCCCGGGCAGTAATCATAAATCCCCGGTCGGGTATTCTTGGCATTGACCGGGGATTAACCCCTGTTCCACGACGGTGCGTTTTGAAGATACCCGGTCGCCACATAAAATACCCGACCGGGGATCGCGAACGCAGGCTATTGAAAGCCAGTTTTGTGCGTTTTTGCAAGGGGGAGAGCTGGATTTTGGATCCCAAACACCCAAGGGATGAACCAAAGAGAGAGAGAGAGAGAGAGAGAGAGAGAGAGAAGGCGATTTGAGGGCATTCTTGGAGTGGAACTGGAGGATTTCTTTGGAGATTCTTACTGCAGTCTCACTCTTCTCTATGGAGTAACTTCCCTTCACTTAGGTTTTGAGGAACCCTAGCCATGTTTGTTTGATTGGATGATTGTATGAGTACTCCTACTTGATAATCTTGAGTTCATATTCAATCTATGCATGTTTTCATGATTCAATTCTGCTTTAGTCGAGATTATTGATTCTGCTTTGATCCTATGAGAGCGAATACCTGATTAAGCTGTATAGAGCACCATAGA